CTTGTGCGGCGCTTTGGAATAAGAACTGGACTGTGAGCCACAAGGTCGGTAGTTCAAACCCACCAGCTGCTCCTCTGAAACTCTATGCAAGGTCATTATGAGTTAGAACTGACTCAATGGCACTTACAACAACAAAAACAGATTCCACCAAGACAAGATCCCTACCTGGAGAGTCTGCCCAGTCCCTTTTCTGTAGGAACTTTACACAAGCCTGTGCCCACTGGCAGCTATTTTGATATATGACCCCAGCCCTGCTCCAGTCATTGTGGGACATGTTCCCCAAGATGACCAATCAAGATCTAACTCCTGGAAACTTGTCATTGGGACTGAAATAGCCTAGCCAAGGGCAGAGACTAAGTTTGTCATTGTATCCCTGATACCTACTTCCAGGCTTGTGCCATCATGGAAGAACAAATGAATGAATTAATGGATGACTATTAGACTGATTTCCTGATTGAAATATGAAACTGAGTGCTGTAAGATGACCACCATTCATCTGCCAAATGGATCAAAAAACCTCTTAAAAAACACAAATCTATGGACCATGTTGTTGTTGTTGTTGTTATGTGCCATCGAGTCGGTTCCGACCCATAGCGACCCTGTATAGGGTTTCCAAGGAGCAGCTGGTGAGCTTGAACTGCTGACCTTGCAGTTCAAACGCCTTTGCAGTCTGGCGCATTAACCCACAGCACCACACCAGGACTCCTGGAAAGCTTTTGTTTGCATCTCCTGTGGGAGATAAAGGAACACACAGTCCCCTTGATAGTGAGCTTTCCCTAGTCCTGGCGTGGCACTGTAGGATAATGCATTAGAACACAAGGTTGGTGGTTCAAACCCACCAGCCATGGCTTGGAAACCCTATACAGGGTCACTATGAGTTGGAACCGACTTGACACAACAATATTTTTGGCATTCCTCGGATAGAAATCAAATATCTCTCTTTCTCAACTTTTTCACTTTTCAGCACAATACATTAGAGTCTGACTTTCATCATCATCTCCCCACTCTGTGAAGCAGGTCTTTATAAAAGCCAAACTGAAGACTAGAACCAGCTACATAGTGTGAGAACCAGGCCAAAGGAAAATGCAGGCTTGCTTGCACAAGCAGCAGTGAGCGTTTCAAGATGGCGACAGCACATGGTTCCCCAACACCCAGGGGCCCTTTGAAGAGTGGGGCTCCAGGTGACTGCAAGGGTCACACACCCAGGAAGCTGTCCCTGTTATAGAAGCCAAGGGAAGATTTACCAGTTGTTACTTCCTTGCTCGCTATAAAAACCATCCATTATAATTTGGATTGGAAATCCCAATGACCCCTTGCCCCCCAAAATGTTTCCCTCTGCTTGCCAGTTGTTGTTTGTTGTTGTTGTTAGGTGCTATCGAGTCGGTACCGACTCACAGCGACCCTGTGCACAACAGAACGAAACACTGCCCGGTCCTGGGCCAACCTCACAATTGTTGCCACACTTGAGCCCATTGATGCTGCCACTTTGCCAATCCATCTCCTTGGGGGTCTTCCTCTTTTTCTCTGACCCTTCACCTTACCAAACATGATACCCTTCTCCAATGAATGGTCCCCCCTGACACTATGTCCAAAGTATGAGAGATGAAGTTTGGCCATCCTGGCCTCCAAGGAGCACTCTGGCTTTGCCCTAAATGTTAGCACAACTGGCAACATGAGTCTGTTGCTCCAGGCAATTTGGCTTTAAACTTTATTTTTCACGTACACTTTCAGAGTATACAAAACATAGAAAATGTACTATTTTAAAGGTAGGGTTGTAGAAAGAATCTTCTTGTGAAATGCCATGGTGTTGGTTTCAACTTATAGTGACCCCATATAGAGTTTCCAAGGAGCAGCTGGTGGGTTTGATCTGCCAACCTTATGGTTAGCAGTCCAGTGCTGATCCTACAGCACCACACCAGGAGTCCAGAGAAAGAATCTTAACTACACTAAAAATCAGATTTGTCCCCAAAGCAAAATTCAAATTTAGCCTTTAGCTCTGTCCCTAGCCTTTCCCCTACTACCAGTGTCTCCCAATAGACACATTTGTACAACCTGTTGGATTGGGAGTAACCTTTGAACTATTAGCAATTCCCCTCCCAGCCAGATTGGAAATGATAATGTGTCCATTGAGTGTTTAGTATGTTTGCATGCAGGCTTGGGGTTCCAGATTTCTTCATTTAGTACTGAACATCCTAACGTGACTGTGTTCATTCGGGCTGGCCACATAGCTAAGCCACCTGACACAGGAAGTGTATGGAAATGGAGGCATTCCCCAAGTTCCCAATATTCAGGGATGTATATTTACACAAAGCCACAAGTCAGACACTGCCAACTCATTGGAACAAAGACCCAAAGTCATTTTAATGCAAATAACAAAATGAGTTAGTGTGTCTCCATCACTTGGCCCCTCAATGAAAGAATTACAGTACTTTATAAAAACGTCATAAAATGCGCAAACTACAGTTCCTTCAAATACAGGTATTACCAGAGTAGGCAATAGGTTTGGTCCTAATTGTTTGCTTCTTGGATGTCTTTATTTATTTATTTATTTAGCATAACTTGATAACTGATAGTAAGCCACAAGGGAACATTGATCGTATCTCCAGGGAAGGGTAGGTATTTCTCCCTGCCTCCATTAACTTTTCTCCACTTTCCAAATGCATGTGTCACACAGTGGGGGAAAAGGTACCGCTCACGTCTCTGAGAACCTCCTCTGTATCCCAGGTGGGTATGAGCCCTGGGCACTACAGAGCAGCGACAGCCATCCAGGAAAATCCACAGGGTCATTTTGGATTGTATCCAACAGAAATATTCATGTACCCCTGACGTTTTGAGGGGAAGGGAACTCATGCCTAGCTTACAGGTTTGGGTTTCCAGATCTCCAGTTCTACAGTGTTGTTTGCTTGGTTGTCCATTTTGATGACTAGAACATTCTAGAAGAGCCACTGGGGGCCCTTTAGCTCCCACTCCCTCCATGAGGCTCACCAAGTATCCCCTAGGGCTGTGACCACTCCTGCCCACAACATGTCTGATGATAATTCTCCCTGGGGGCAGAAAGTGACAATTTGCCCTCTCTCCATCATCCTATTTTGTGCTAGTGGACCCTCCCCATGGAGGCTAGGAGGCTGCAAGCTTTACAAGGGCATGGAGGACGTCTGGATTTGCTCACCTCTGGACTTTCAGAGCCTCCCACAGTACCTGGAACATAGTGAACAGCCAGTTCTTTTTGCTGAAAACGAATGCATGATTGAGTGATCGAGCAGATGGAAAGACAACCCAATCCTATACTGAAAATGTGTCCATTCTGACCCCAAAGCAACTTGCATTAGACATCTGCCCAGTTTCATTGGAATTGGGGTGATGGCAAATCCTCACTTAATGGAAGGTCAAGTAGAAAAGCAATGCAGTAGCAGCAGTGCTGAGATGCAATGGGCAAGTCACACCTCACCAGCAACATGCTCCAGACACGAGAGTTAGAACACGTTGAGGTGCCAAGACCTGCCACCACAGGACATTCCCTGGGAGGTTCTGCATCGTCATATTGCTTTTACAGCTAAAGACAAACTCCCAAACAGAGTCACCTGGGCTGCTCCTTAACAGTAGTCCCAGGCTTCACCCAGACCCTGCCAGATCACATTCTCAACTCTGTGGGACCCCTTTACCTCACTCACTGTCAGAACTCCCGGACCCCTCCATGGAGAAGGGCACTGTCTGCCAATGGCCATCTGCAGGAGCTGAATGGCCAACATTAGGGACATTTAAACACCAGATGTGCAAAACAGGTTCCCTCCCACCCCATGGGCCCCTATTTTCAAACCATGGTTGGGGTCTTTGCAGCCTCCATCACAGCTTATAATTATTTTTCTTCATTGGTTTTTCTTAATTGGTTTAATCTGTCTCCTCTGCTAGACTGTGGCCCTCAGAAGGGGACTGTGCCCTGTACTTGGCACATAGTCAGCACTTGATAGCTTCTGTGGATAGGAGGATGGATGGAGAATGGTAGATGGGTCCTCTGAGGCTTTAGAAACAGGAAATACTAGAGGCCCACCAGGTCTCAGAACACAGGGCAGGCAGGGAGAGAGGAGGCAGCAACACCCAGAGTGTCTGACTACTGGGATGCGTGGCTGGGAACTGAATCAGGTGGTCCCAATGTAATCAGCTGTAGAAGAGACAGCAGAGCAGAAAGACCAAAGTTTCGCCCTGCAGTGGGGTCTAGATCTCCCTCCTCAACATTTGTGCGGCAGCTCTACCCTCCTGGTCTGGGCCTGCTGTGCCCACCTTAAATGAACCTGAAGCATCGCCCAAGGAGTTCATTGTCAATGCAGATTCTTGGGCCCTAGTCCTGTAGACACTGATTTCACAGGTCAGCGGAGGAACCCGATAGTTTTTGAGATTCCTTGTCTAAGGCTAAGCCTAAATTGGACCTCAGAGTAAAATTCACCTCTCTGAAGGCAAGCAAATTTGGATGGCTCGATGTCACCAATACCCAGACCATAACAGAAGGTTTGGGGCTTTGATTCTGAGAGAGAATATCAAAGGCTTCACCTGTGTTTTACTGGAGCTTAGACTGAACATCTGCAGAGGTTCGCATCCCTCACCTGAACCCCTCCCTCACTCCCTACTTCTACCAACAACAACACAGAGCATTTGGGGAAAAGAGGCTGAGGTGAGGAATGATGTAACCAGATACCTGGCTTTCTTGGTCTCTTGTCACATCAGATCCCCCTAGTTAAAAACTGTCTTGCTAAGCAAACAGGACTTTTGGCTTTGTCTCGTTGAGACTTTGAGCTGGTCAGTTTTGAATACTAGCCTTCGTAGTCTCAGATCGGATCTCAAGAATGTAAAAAATAAAAATAAAAAGGAACAAAACTCTTTTCTTGGCTTTTAAAGGAAATAGTAAGTTTGCTAGAAAAACCACACACACAAAAAAGATTATATACAAAATGGTTATTTGAGTGTGGATTCTGCAAAGTAGAGAAAGCAACCTAGCTCTCGGGATTTTATTTGCGCTTTCTCAGTATTAGATACATGATCCCACTGATGAAGGTGAAGGCAAAGGCCACCCAGGCCAGGATGAAGGAGTAGCCATATCTGCCTTCTGAGGTAAACCTGTAGTACTGCTCGGAATTCTTCTGGTGAAGGTCCTGGCGCTGGTCTGTGTATATGGAAACTGCAATCATGACACACAGGCCTGCCAGGGAGAAAACAAAGGAACACATTAGTCATGGGCCAAAGTGCACACAAAGGGCCTACCTCACACCTTTTATTATTATGACGCATTTCCTTATCTTACCTTATTAAAGTTCTTGGGTGCTACAAATGGCTGATGCTCCAGGCTACAAAGCGATAGGTTATGATTCCAGTCCACCCAGAAGTGCCTCAATAGAAAATTCTAGCCACTGAAAACCTTGTAGAGTACAAATCTACTCTGATGTATATGGGGACGCCATGAGTCTGGGTAAACTCGACCGCAACTGATACTGGTATCTTAGCCTTTATCAAAAAAAGACAACTGATCCTTTGTGGCAGAAGGAATGCTTTCTTGTAGCCATTTCCTTCCTCATCCTTGCGGGGGGTTGGGAGGTGGTGGTGGTGGTTGAGTGCCATTAAATCGGTTCTGACTCATGGCGACTCTTTATAGGGTTTCTGAGGCTGTAAATCTTTATGGGAGTAGAGAGCCTCATCTTTCTTTCTCCTGTAGAGTGGCTGGTAGATTCGAGCTTGTGGTTAGCAGCCCAAATCATAACCCACTATGCTACTGGGAATCCTTTCATCCTTGCTAGCTGAACCCTGTTTTGGAGGGCATCCTAAAAGACAGATCATAATTGGTTTAAGACATGGGTAGGCCAGAAAGTAAGTATTTTGGGCTTTGGGGGCCATACAGTCTGTAAGGCAACTCAATTCTGTTGTAGCACAAAAGTAGCCATAAACATGTTTACATGGTTCAATAAAACTTTATTTACAAGGACAGGCAGCATCTTGGATTTGGCCTGTGGACTATGTCTTGCCGATTCCTGATCTAAGCCAACCTTAGCAGTCCCATTCTTCTTTGCTTGCTATAGTCTGTAGATTTGTCGGTGTCCATTTTGGGCTACATTAAACCCCCCAGTAGAAAGTTTTACACCCTCAAAAGAGAGAGATAAGGGAGGAGAAAGCACTATTTATTGCTGTACTTTCCCTTGCTTACTGCTTTAGATATGGTATGCTGGGATGAAGTGTTTGGTGCAGCAGCAACCATTTTGGGCCCATGAGGAGGACATCTCCAGGATGAAAGAAAGATAGAAAGAGTGGGGGTTCTTAATGCCACTGGGTTGGCAATCCAACCCAGGCTAATTGTTATGTAAAAACAAGTGACTGTTTATGATTGAACTAACTTTTGATTGGATTTCCTGTTACTGGAAATTCACAGACATCAGTGCTTTGTTGTTGTTACGTGCCGTGGAGTCGGTTCCGACTCATAGCGACCCTGCACAGGGTTTCCGAGGCTGTAAATCTTTACGGGAGTAGAACGCCTCCTCTTTCTCCCGCGGAACCGCTGGTAGTTTCGAACTGCTGACCTTGCGGTTCACAGCCCGATTCGTAACCAATACGCTAATAAGGTTAAACACCATGGTTTTCCCTGGGGAACCTATTCCTCTCGCTGACCAGCCTATTTTGGTGGTACCGCCTTCAGGGTGCCCAGGCTTTCTCTAGACCAAGACTGGGCATCTGCGACCGTGTTTACCAGTCAGACTGTCTTTCCTGGAACTGTTAGTCTAGAGAAAACTATCACTGCTGATGATTCTGGTAGCATCTCCCATCATCCTGAGGTCTGGATCCTCTTTCCAAGACCTGGAAGCTAGAGTTCTGGGGTGTTTGTACCTGTACATGCTTGACTGATAAAACATATAAACACTGTGAGGGGTTGGGGCAGACAGAAGGGGCAGGTCCTTGGCCCAGAAAATGAGGGAGAATGAAACGTTTTAGAAGGGAAGAATGGCTTTGACTTCCAAATCAACACACGGGGAATAGACTCAGCTCTTGAGCTGCCTCTGATTCCTATCAAGCCTATTAACAGCACAGGGAAACACTGCCTGGTCCTGAGCCGCTCTTACAATCGGCTGTTAGAGCTGAACCCCATCGTTGCAGCCACTCTATCCATCCATCCCATTGCGGGTGCTCTTCGTCTTCATCTTCTTTTTTTTTTATTGTTCACTCTATCAAGCTTGATGTCCTTCCTGATAGCATGTCATTGACTTGACCCCAACAGTGACCTTACATATAAGAGAACAAACTGCTGTCTGGCACTGCCCCATGTTCCTCACTGTTGATGTCACTGTGTATGTCTGAGTCCCCTGTTGTGGGTATGGTATGTACATATGTGTGTATGTGTGTATTTGTTGTTGTTAGTTGCCATCAATTTGAATTCATGGCAAGCCCATGCATACATACAAACACACACACGCATCAGGGAATGTGTATGTATCTATACATATGTTGTTGTTAAGTGCTGTCGAGTTGGTTCCGACTCATATACAGACCAGTCACCCTGTATAGGGTTTCCAAGGAGTGGCTGGTGAGTTTGAACTGCTGACCTTATAGTCCAAACTGACCTTGCAGTCCAGTAGTTATCCTACAGTGCCACACCAGGACCCTATATAAATATATGCATATATAAGGCGGCTTCAAAAAGTTCTTGGGAAAATTGAAGTGAAAGAGAAAGGAATGAGCGGTCATCTAAGGTGCAACTATTGGCCTCTCCCTGTGCAGAGGAAAGAAAAGTGATGACAATTGGAGCTGTCTGGAATCAACTAGGCCAGTGGACTAATGGACCACATGAACATCAGTCTCTTTGACCTTGAGACCAGAAGAACTAGATGGTGCCCAGCTACCACTAACAACTGTTCTGAAAGGGAGCACAATAGAAGGTCCTTTGTTGTTGTTGTTTTTGTTAAGTGCCGTTGTATCAGTTCCAACCCATAGCAATCCTGTATAGGGTTTCCGAGGAGCAGCTGGTGAGTTTGAACCACCGACCTTGCAGTTCAAATGGCTTTGCAGTCTGGCGCATTAACCCACAGCGCCACACCAGGACTCCTTTACTTAAGGACAAAAATCCAGAAGGAATGTGAAAGAAGGCAGGATGGAAATAAGAACTATATCCCACAGGGAGGAAGTGGGATAACTGTTATTCCATGGAGGGGATGTCAATCACTGAGATGAAACAAAGTATATGATTTGAATGTAAAACTGATGATCTGCTCTGTAAACCTTCACTCAATTCACAATAAAAAGTATTAATAAGTAAATAAATAGATAGAATTTTTCCGTGAACTTTTTGAAGCCCCTTCATGTTTGTGTAGTCAATTTTGACTGGATTAACTTACAGATGAATAAACAGAAAATAAGCTTCAGTTAGTAACGCTCCCAGTCCCACCCCTACGTGTTAAGTAAGAGGATCAACTGCCTTGAATGGATGAGCCAGCTGTGGGGGGGTCTGCCCTTGAACTAGGAGATGCAGAGGTGGTAAAGGAAGGGTGGAGAGCAGGCATCTCCTCGGGACCTAGCTGGTACCCTTGGGCCAATAGTGCTGCCTCTTTCGGCCTCATTTGGTCTGGGCCACTGTGCCCAAATGCTTGAAGAGTTTTGAAAGGACAAACCCCCAAGTTCCAATGTGGCAGATTCTGAGGTCTGGGATGAGGCCTTGGAAATCTGTACTACCATTACCCAGGTGTCTCCCTGTCATACTTTGGGAACGGACGTGTTGCTGGGATGCTGGAGGCTTTGCCACTGGAGTTTCAAGTACCAACAGGGTCACCCATGGAGGACAAGTTTGAGCAGAGCTTTCAGACTAAGGCAGGCTAGGAAGGAAGGCCTGGTGATCTACTTCTAAAAATGAGTCCGTGAGAACCCTGTGGCTCACAACAGAAAACCGTCTGACAGCGTGCTGGAAGATGAGCTCCCTAGGTTGGAAGGCCCTCACAATACACATTGGCCACAACAACGGACTCAAATATATCACAAATCCTGAAGAGGGTGGACAACGTGTCGTTCTGTTGTGCACGGGGTCACACCTCGACAGCAACAATGTGCTTTCAAAGGTCCCCAGAGGGATCCTCACAGACTCGGGGACTCACAGGACTGGGTGACTTTCCGAGTCACACTGGTGCTGTTCTAACTCTGCCACAAGCAAATGAGGGCTCTGACCCAGTAAGGGAGCAATGCCCTGTAGGGGAGGTGAAGCTAAAGTGCCTCATAGGAAACCCTAAAGAAGACTAATTGTCCCTGGGGGTTCCTGACACCTAAGAATTTGTCTTCAAACTGGAACAGTTCTGGCAAACTGAGATGAGAGGGTCACCCTTGTGTGCTGGTGGAGAAAGACAACAGGTTTGTACTTGACTCCAGGCTGGGAGGGAAGAGGGGACCGAACAAGGCTGTGGACTGGCCCTGAGTCCCAGGTATCTCGTCCACTTGGAGCTTCCCGTGAACACTGTCAGAAAGCAACACGGTAGTAGGAGCTTCCCATGGTCTGTCATCAGAATACTTAACACTTTCCCGAGCACACAGCTCCACAAGATCATGTGTGACACAGGCTTCTTCGTCCACTCTCAGCCTGGCCCGGCTAACATCCCAAATAGGAGAAAGTGGCCTGAGAAACATGTAGTTTCTCCAAGTCCTTCCATACTATGGGATTGTGCCTCCCTCATCTGGTAGCGTAGTGGTTACGAGTCGGACTGCGGACCGCAAGGTCAGCAGTTCGAAACTACCAGCTGTTCCTCGGAGAAAGATGAAGTGTTCTGATCCCGTAAAGATTTACAGCCTTGGAAACCCTGTATCGGGTCGCTATGAGTCAGAATCGACTCCAGGGCACACCACGACCACCACCATCACCTACAGCATCAGCCCAGGCCAGACCGACACAAGTATTTCTGTTATTGTTCAGTTACAACCTGCCACCACTGGCCGGCCCTGACCCTCACCCATTACAGAGCTTCAGACATGCAGTTCCCTCGGCCTGGCACACGCCCCTCCACTCAGTGCCAGAGAGAACATTGTGGACACAACTCCTGCAGAACCCATCTGAGAACACCTTCCCTAACTTCCTCCCAGCTCTTCCCCTCCATGTCTCCTCAAGGAGAGGGCGCCCCACCATTCTACTTACAGGACATGAGCTGGATGATGGAGGTTAAGACAAATCGGTCTCCCTGCTTGAGGCGGAAGAGCTGGAGCAGGAATATCATGAAGGCGATGCAGCAGAGGATGGTAGAAAGGATCATGGTGGCCTGGATGGCCTGCAAGGTACTGTAGTCTGTGGGGAGACAAGAAAGAATGGTGAGGACCGCAGACCAGCGCAGGCTCCTCGGGGAGACCACGAGAGTGCATGGTGAGGACCGCAGACCAGTGAAGACTCCTCGGGGAGACCATGAGAGCGCATGGGGAGGACCACAAACCAGCGCAGGCTCCTCAGGCTCATGAATCCTCATGACAGTCCTGGGGTGGGAAAGACGAAGCCAAAGTGCAAGAGTCCCACTGGTCATCTGCAGGGCATAGGCACAGGGGGCGCCAAGGAGCCTGGACCCACCGCCCTCTAGTGGCTGCTCATGCCCTTGACCAGAAGAGTCCCAATTTCTTCCTCTGGAAAATGGATCTAATACTGCTGGCTCTGCGTGGGCTGGGAGACCATGGATCAGAAAGGGCTCCACAGACAATGGTGTTCTGGAAGAGGCTTCCCCTTCTGACCACCCCTTGGGAAAGGACAGTGTAATTTTTTTAGATGAACCTTAAGAAAGAATAACTGTGGGTGTCTGGCCTCCATACAGGGAGGTTTCCATGGAGAAAGAAGGATTGGGGTAGAGGTTGCTGCAAAGGAGGGGAGGGGCAGCTGGACCTCCTTGGGGCCCTGTGGAGAAGTGGCCGAGCATGGATTGGGAGGTGGCCCGACTGCCGCCTCCTGGTCTGTGAAATGGGGACACTCCTAGTTCCCACCTCATCGGGATGGGAGGGTTAAGTGAACTCTGGAAGGTTTTGAGGGATGCAGCAGGGCATTCTGTGTAAGTGTTGGATGTTATCACCAGGACCCTGCTAAACGGGATGAAGGGACAGTGCTCAGAGCTACAGAGGAAACATACAGGAAACTTTCCTGGCTTCTGTTTGGTTGGCATTATCTGTATGTACTTCCTGAAATGCTTAGAGCCTCCCTCCCCCGCTGCCATCAAGTCAATCGCAACTCACAGCAACCATGTATGACAGAGTAGGACTGCACCTTAGGGAGTCCCAGACTATAGATGGTTATGAGTGTTGTTGTTGTTAAGTGATGTTGAGTTGGTTCCGACTCATAACCCTGTATAGGGTTTCTAAGGAGCGACCGGTGAGGTTGAACCATCAAACTTGTGATTTAAACAAACCTTGCGGTCCAGCGCATTAACCCACAGTGCCACACCTGTAGATCATTAGGAGAGTAGACAGCCTCATCTTTATCTAGAAAACTAGTGGTAAGTCTGAACTGCCAACCTCTCAGTCCAACACACTGTAACCCACTGCACCATTTTTGGGGTCTTAATGCATTCTGGCAGCATATCGAATCACTGGGATATCATGTAAACCCCAACTCTTGACTCCTATGGTGAGTAAAAGAACCCAGACTCTTCTGTCTCCCACAGAGGCACATGGTATGACTCTAGTTCACTGACATCCAAGAACAGAAGAATTAAATTTCAGCCAGAGTCAGAAAGTGGCAGCTCTTGAAACAATGGGTGGTGGAAATTGGCTGGATGGGACCCGTAGGAACTTTCTGGGCATGGTGAGAATGTTCTTTGTTTTTTGTGAATTGGTGGTTACATGGATGGATGCTGTTGGTAAGTACCCTTGAGTTGGTTCCAACTCATAGCGACGCTATATAGGGTTGCCTAGGCTACAAGTGTTTATAGGAGCAGAAAGGCTCATCTTTCTCCTGTTACTAACCTTGTAGCTCCCAGTCCTGTGCTTGTCCTATGCAATCATCAAAACTCACTGACCTGATCCCTTAAATAGCATGCATTTTCTTATATGCAAATTATGTTGTGGTTAAGTGTTGTTGAGTCAGTTCCAACTCATCGCGACCCTATAGAGATAGGGTTTCCCAGGAGCGGCTGGTGAGTTTGAACTACCGACCTTGCAGTTCAAACTGACCTTGTGGTCTGGTGCTAATCCTACAGTGCCACACCAGGACCCATTATGTTGTTGTTGTTGTTAAGTGCCATTGAGCTAGTTCCAACTCATAGCGACCCTGTTTAGGGCTTCTGAGGAGTGGCTGGTGAACTTGAACCACCGACCTTGTGGTTCAAACCAACTCTTCAGTTCTGCGCATTAACCCGCAGCACCACACCAGCTTGTCCATTTGTTGTTTTATTGTTGTTAAGTGCTGTCGAGTCAATTCTGACCCATAGGGACCCTGGGTAGGGTTTCCGAGGAGAAGCTGGTGGTTTTGAACTGTGAACCTTGTGGTTTGAAGTCCAGTGCTGATCCTACAGTGCTACATTAGAGGTTGACAAACTTTTCCTGAAAAGGGCCAGAAAGTAAAGATTTGAGGCTTACCTGCTACAATTGTGGATGAATCTTGAAACACTATGTTCAATGAAAAATGCCAGACACAAAACTGCTGTCTGCTGCCATTTGTATAACTCTCCAGAATAGAGACAGAAAGCAGATTGGTGGTGGCCCGGGGCTGGGAGCTTGGGGAAGAGGAGAAGTGACTGCTAATAGGTTTGGGATCTCCTTGTGGGAGGATGAAAAGGTTCTGGAACTAGACAGAGTGGTGGCTGAACAACACCATGAGTGTCCTCACCGCTGGATGGTGCACTTTGAAATGGTTAATTTCATATCATGTGAATTTCACCTCAATTTAAAAAAGAAAAAGTAAACCGTATTTTAGGCTTGGCGGGCCCTATGGTCTCTTTTTCAGTTTCTTTGTGTTCTTTTCGTTTTACAACCTTTTAGAAGCATAAAAATCATTCCTAGTTCATGGACTATCCCAGAGCAGGCTCCTGTTTTAAAGAAAATGAACTAGTTAATCATTCCTCATGCGGGTTATGGGGCATAAAGGATAGATTAGAGTTTACAGAGCCCTTTCGTGTCCTTTAGGTCATTTGATGAGGTAGGTACACATGGCAGGTGTGTGATCATGTCTCCGTTTTACAACTGAGGAAACTGCATTCCCAGAACTTAAATGACTTGCCCAAGGCCACATGGCTCATAAAAGGACCAAGCGCAGCTCTCCAGTTTCTACTGAAGTCAGGTGCTGTGATGGGGGACTGTGGCCAAGGTGGAAATTATTGTCTCTGAGCCAACACAGAGGCCAAGGTTGGATAAAGGAGGTAGAGAAAATTCTATATGAGGGTTGGCTTTGCTTAGAAACAGAGAGGAAAGATGCTTAGCTTAACTGGAGTTGGTCCAGCCTCCAGACCTTGCCTGCCCCATATCTCTCCTGATCTTGGCTGGTCCCCTGCTCCAATCTCCACTATGCAAAGTTAGTTGTTGCTATGTGCCACCAATCCAATTCTGACTCATACTGTGACCCAAAGGACAGAGTAAAACTGTGCCAGAGGGTTTCCTAGACTGTTGTCTTTATAGGAGAAGATCACCAGGTCTTTTCTCCTACAGAATGATTGGTGGGTTTGAACCACTGACCTTTCAGTTAGCAGTCAAGTGCTTTACCCATTGTACCAACAGGGCTCCTTATGCAGCGTCAGTAGGCCCACCTTACTGGGCTGCGGGCGGAGAGCATTAAGTGTCTCAGATAAGTCTGGAGTCTGCTCCCTTTTTTGTTTGGCGCTTCTCACTCACAGATTTGAGGGTTCGTACTCACCGGCATAGTTGTCACCGATCTCTGTACAATTTGTGTTGTTCATGCAGACTCTCCACACATCTGCAAAGAACTCTTCTCCTACCCACCAGGCCTGTAACAGAAAACAGAAGCAGAAGGCAAGGCCGGTTGTGAATTCTGTAAACACTGACACCTAATTCCCTGTGACACACAGACCCTGCCCTTCTCACACTAGCCACTGGGGGTCCTGGCTAAAATGCAGTGTCTGATTCAGGAAATAGGGCCTGAGAGAGTGTGCGTTTCTGACAAGCTGCTGGTCGGACTGAAGGGTGAGGCTTAGCTCAACTGGCAGTAATAGCGCAGTCAGTAGAGTAGTCTGCACTCTGACTAGTGGCGCCCCCGTGTGGGTTAGAGGAGAACAGCACGCCATAGGGTTTTCAGAAGAAGATCTGCAGGCCTTTCTTCTGAGGTGCTTCTTGATGGACTCAGACTGTAGGCTTCCGGTTAGCCCCTGAGCGCTTCACCGTTTGCACTACACACAGATGCCAATAGAATAGTCGATGGTGGTATGTTGTAAAAAAGCTATACTGGCAATACGAACAGGAAGATAGAAAAAGGATGAAGTTTGTGGGGGATTGATACCACGACTGGGAATGATAAAAAAGACCCTACTATCTTCAGTTCAGATACTTCAGTTTCTCTCTTTGAGTATGGTGCTCCCATCCCAGAGGGCTTGCATTCTCCCCTTGACCCACCCAAAGCCTAGAGCCCATCTCTGAGTGACCAGGGGCTTTGTGTTTCCTACAGTAGCCATTGGCACCACTAGCCATTCCGCCAATTAATATCCACTGAGCTCCTAAGATATAGGGGCCTTGATGGCTCAGTGGGTCAAGTACTCGGCAGCTAACTGTTAGGTCAGTGAGAGAAAGATGTGGCAATCTGCTTCTGTACAGATTTACAGTCTCAGAAATCCTACGGGACAGTTGGACTATGTCTTATAGGGTGCTATGTGTTGAAATCCATGATCACAGTGGAACATTTTTTTTGAGTTTCTATGACATGCCCTTCAAGAGTAAAGCTATCAGCTTAAGGACTAAGGTGCACCTGACCCAAAATACCCATGGTATTTTCAGTAGCTTCATATGCATGTGAAAGTTGGACAGTGAATAAGGAAGACCGTAGAAGAACTGATAAATTTATGTTATGACGTTGGAGGAGAATATTAGAAGTACCACAGACTGTCAGAATAACAAACAAATCTGTGTTGGATGAAGTACAGCCAGCATGCTTCTTGGAAGCCAGAATGGCCAGACTTTGTCTCTCATACTTTAGACGTATTATCAGAAGGGACCAGTCCTGGGAGAAGGACATCTTGCTTGGCAAAGTGGATGGTCTGTGAAAAAGAGGAAGGTCCTCAACGAAATGGATGGGCACAGTGGCAGCAACAGTGGGTTCAAGCTTAACAACAATCGTGAGGTTGGCACAGGACCGGGCATTGTTTCAGTCTGTTGTGTATACGGTCAGAGCTGACTCGACAGCACCTAACAACAACGTTGGGCCCAGCTACGATGCAAGTGCAACTTCACATATAACATACACCCTGCATCTCACTGGTTGGCAGGACAGTTCATTCTGTGTCTTCTCAAGAAGTACCATGGTAATACAAGAGATTTTCAAAAACTCTGTGGAAACACCCCGTTACCTTTTCATGCCATTTTTCCATGAACTTTTTGAAGCCCCTTGTATAAACACCCATGGATGCTGGCTAGGATTCCATGGAGCTGTGGCTGATGGCTCTCTGCCTCCAAAGACATAGAGTTTATCTCTTTGACTATGTCTGGGACCTTTCAGTATCCCAAAGAATTTGTTGTAAGGAATAGAAAAAAAGAAATAAACACAAAAAAACTGCAGTCTGGCCAACCCCGTGTATTTCAGAGTAGACATGTACTCCAAAGGGCTTTCGGAAGTAAACTGCCAAACCTTCCAAGGCGCCGTCAGTGGATTCAAACTGCCAACCTTTTGGTTAGTAGTTGGGTGCTTAACCATTTGTGCCACTGGGGTCCTGTGGACTACTGAGGACCTCTATTAAAAAGCCTTACTTGCTGTTGGGAGGGGCAGTACCCTGTGCCAACAGGCTGGCCACCAAATGTTCCCTGCTGTGTGGTTGGGAGTTGGTCACTAAGGGTAAGAGCTACATTTCCTGGCAACAGGCAGATAGGAGAGATTCAGGAACATTCTAAGTAGGAACTCTAGTGGGGAAGACATGGCCAGGTGGGCTAGCAATACACTTCACTCTCTTCAGTCACAGCACAGGGGTTGGTAAGCAGATGTGGGGGTGGGGGAGGAAGGGTAGAGGTCACCTGGGAATCTAGGGTGATCATGCCAACTCTCCCCCACCCTCCCGGAGGTATCTGGCAGTAGTCACACAAACGGTGGGTGGGGTACTGGCATCTCATGAGCAAAGGCTAAGGAAGCTGCCAAATGTCCTACAGTGCACAGGACAACCCCAAACAAAGGTAATCCAGCCCAAATGTCAGCAGTGCTGGGGCAGAGAAACTGCTGGAGGGAAGGACAGACTTCAAGCAACATCCTTGAGGTGTTTTCCTAAGGCCAAGGCTCTGTGGGGGAATCAGATATAAGGAGACCAAGGTCCGGGCCCACCAGGACCTTCCCATGCAAACCGAAATACGGAATGCTCCAGAACCCCAAGATTTAGGCCCCCAGTTCCTCGGGAGAGAAAACAACCTCACACTGATCACTCCATCCCACCTCTGTCACCTGCAGGAGCCAGGGCTCTAAGAGGGTCCCTAGGAAAGGGGACTTACATTGTCGATGGTGGCAATGAAGAGCAAGGCCGCGGAGGTGATGTGGAAGACAATGATGAAAGCTAGAAGCACCAACATTTTCACAGGGCGGGGAGGGGCAAGGGGATGCGTTTGAAGTCCACAGAGAGACACTCTAAGGGGTGGGGGTGGGGGAGAGAGAGAGAAATTCAAATACATCAATGACAAAGCACTTTTAAAAAGAAGCCACTTTTGATGTAACTACAAAATGATGACCACAATGAAGAAAGTTACCATTGAGACAAGAGAGCCCATTTGCAATCTTTCCCAATTGTTTAAATGTACTTTAGAGCTGTTTGGTTTTCCCCCACCCCCACTATAGTCAAATTCAAGGAGCTCTGGTAGCGTAGTGGTTACGAATCGGGCTGAGAACCTCAGGGACAGCAGTTCGAAACTACCAGCTGTTCCGTGGGAGAAAGATGAGGCTTTCTGCTCCCGTAAAGATTTAAAGCCTCGGAAACCCTGTACAGGGTCTCTATGAGTCAGAACCGACACGGCTCATAACAACAACAGTCAAATTCAAGGTGACATGCTCCATTTTGTCCTGTTTCTTTGGTGTTGGTATAGTTGCTGTTGTTAGCTGTCACTGAGTTGCCCCAACTCGTGGTAACCTCATAGGCAACAGAGCCAAACATTGTCCTGTCCTACATCATCGTCGTTGCGATCATTGATCTGCATGAGCCCATTGTGGCCACTGTGTACCTTTCCCCCAGCAGCGACTCTCCCACCTCCTTTGGTGGATATGCACAGTACAAATTCCCACCCCTTCTCCCTCTGCCATCTCCCCCTCAGACATGCCCACTCTCACTCCATTCTTCCCTCTGTGCTCATGAGAATGGCTCGGTGCCAGTCCTTGAGACTCAGGACTCACGACAAACAAGCCGTGAGCTGTGTGGTTGATAAACTCAGTCCTAGGAGGCTGCGCTGCGATTCCGTGCATCACCAAGTTGGAAGAAGCCAGTGAGCCGGCTAAGAGGTTCTTCCATTCTTTTCAAGAGGACAAAGTCTCCTTTGTTGAAGCCTGCGTCATTCATAGCTGCCATCATATTCTGCCTCCAAATAGACACATTTCTGACCCTTGCAAAAAAAAACGCTCACATACCACGCTGAATGCGGCATTATTTTTATACTAGTTGGACCGCCAAAATGCCAACCTCATCAGATCCAGGAATTCCAGGAGAATAGGGCTTCCTGGAGTCCTGGTGTGGTGCTGTAGGATTAGCACTGGACTGCGAACTACAAGGTCAGCAGTTCGAGCCCACCAGCAGCTCCTCAGAAATCCTATACAGGGTTAATATGAGTCGGAACCAACTCATAGGTACTTAACAACAAGAAGGACTTCCTGTATTGTCCTGCTCAGATGATATAAATGTATTCAAACACAAAACTGAAGTTTCTAGAAAAGAAAATGTTGTTAGCCTCTTGTTTCCCAAAGTGCAGAAATTCAAATGTTATCGCACATGATTTGGGGTGATTTTAGATTTGGGGGTTTGGCAGTGAAGGGTTCTGTTGTACGGCTGTGCCACAATTTAGTAAGCTAGTTGGATGCTGCAAACGGTAACCCTGCTCGCCTGCAAACTGGAAAGTTGGAGATGCCCGCCCACCCAGAGGTCGCTTGTAAGAAAGGCCTGGTGATTTACTTCTGGAAAATCAGCCACGAAAACCTGATAGTCTCCGGGCCCAAACCTCTAGGAAGACCAGGCTGATAAGCAGAGCGTATACTGTACTGTCAGAAGGCCCCAGAACTGTCTCCGGGCTGGATGGAATCCAGGCTCCTCCCAGTCCAAAGCACTCCAAGAGGGTGGTGGCTGTGGCCTCTGTTTTTAGGACGGCAGAGGTCAGCTTAGCCGCCTGCTCTGGTGTCTGGATGGCAGCCCAGAATATCTAGGCACTGGAGATGCCCTGGGGATAGTGGAAGCCCCTGCACTCTGGGCAGCCCAGCGTGGTGCTCACTGTGGCTAGGGCTGTTGGGTACAAAGCCAACGCTTGGCTCTGTCCAGAAATGGTAACAGACAGGACATTAGATGATCTGGCAGTGCTCCAAGGCAGTTGTCACTGAGGCTGACCCTGCCTCTGCAGCTCTGGGTCTTCCTTCCACTGAAGTAACAACAGCTCAGGCTACAACATCAACTGTAGGCACACACACAATGCCATCAAGTCATTTCTGAACCATAGCAACCCCATCGGATAGAGCAGACTGCACAGTAGGTTTTCCAAGGCTGTGAATTCTTACCGAAGCACACGGCCTCATTTTTCTTCTACAGAGGGGCTGGCTGGTGGGTTTGAACTACCAACCCTGAAGTTAGCAGTTCGACCCTTAACCCACTGCACCACCAGGATTCCATCATAATGACTGTTATTGTTAAGTGCCATCAAGTCGGTTCCAACTCATAGTGATCCTGTATAGGGTTTTTGAGGCGCGGCTGGTGGGTTTGAACCGCTGGTCTCATGGTTAGCAGTCTAGTACTTAGTCTACAGCACTACACCAGAACTCCACATGTTGATAACCAAAACTGAAGGAATGCCTGGTGTGTGTGCAAGGCACTGTTCTAAGCTCTTTGCATGCGTCCATTTATGTAGTCTCCACAAACACTATGATGTAGGCACACGAATTAGCTTTATTATAAGGTAAAGAAAATAAAGCCCAGAAAGATTAAACAACTTCCCTGAGGTCACACAGCTAGCAACGGCTGCAGCCAGGATTTAAACCTAAGCAGACAGTTACCTGTACAGGGTCGCTATGAGTCAGAATTGACTTGACAGCACTTAACAGTCAGCTACAGAACAACCACCATGCTTACCAGCCTAAATCTGAATTTCTATTCCTTTTTGGGGTCCTGTTACTTCATTGCCTGATCAGGAGACCTGCCCGAGGTTCAGGGGCCACATGTGGCATTGGATGTTGACTCTCATGGCATGCCACTATGCCAGGCCCTACAACCTGGGCAGAGAACTCCAAGTCACCTCCAAGTCCTCCAGGCTCAGTGCCCTTCCCTGCATGCAGGATAAACACGTGCCCAGGGGTGATTTGTAGGTAGCAGAACCCAGGATTGAACTCTGGTCTTCTGATGACTAGCCTGTTGCTCACTCTTTTAAAATGAAGTAGTCACCCATGCTTCAGTGAGCACTGACCGAATGCTCACCATGTAGCAGGCCCTGGGGACACACAGATGACTAGAACACATGCCATGTCCCCTGGGAGCTGTCAAGCACCATCAGTACAAGGGTGTATAAATAGATACAAGCACGATGTGCGTGTGTGCTGTGACTAACCATGTCTCAGGGAAGGAAGAGACATCTGAGCTGGGTATCACAGCCCCGGGGAAAGGGTGTTTACTGTAAGCAAAGGGAACCAGGTGCTCAAAGGCTGGACGGTATGAACAAGAGTGAGCTGGGCGTGTGCTGGCTGGGTAGGCCCAGCAGGGAGCTAGGCAAGAAACTCTGGAGGGCTTGCTGAGGTCCAGTGCTATCTTAGAGGCAGCAGGGGGGCTTGGACGATTCTTAAGCAGGAAAGTAGTAAGATCTGCTTCGAGAAGAAAAATATTCCACAGTTAGGGGGATGGGTGAGAAGGAGGCAAAATGGACTTGAAAAAGCTCTTGGGGTAGCCCTGTTGAGGACCGAGTGGGGACCTGGGTGAGGAGGGGGCAGAGGTGGGGACCCACTGAGGATCTGGGTGAGGAGTGGGCAAAAGACGAAGAGTCCTTAAAGTATAATTATTGGAACTTGTCAATGACTGAGAGGCTGGACAAAGAATTTGGGGGTCTTCAATTTGTGTGCCTCAGTGAATGCTGGTTCCACTCAGAGCACATCTGAAGGACGAGGAAACAGTCCCCTGCGTCTAACACATCTGGTTAGTAATGGTGGAAATCTGTAACAAGCAGTTGGAAATTTGTCCAAGACTGTCTCTGAGAAGAAAACAAGCACAAGGACAGAAATCCAGGGGTCATGGGTTGTAGGTGGTAGACCAAACCATTGGAGGACGTGGACTACTGCCCAGGGAGGAAATGCTGACAGGCAGCAGGAAATGGAGGAGAAAAGGCCAGTGAGGGACACTGAGAAGGAGTGGGCACAGATGGTGGGACCCAGAAGTTGAGAGACGGAAAGACTGGAAAGATGGCACTGGGCTTGACACTTGGCTCATTGTCACACTGGCTGAGAATGATATTAGTGAAGTCAACAAAAACTCTTGTGTTTTCTGTTCCCAGTTGTTAATTAGGGGTATCATGTGTCTCTTCTGCTACAGCAGTGCCTAGATGTAAGATCACTTAATCAATATGTGTTGAATGACTGATGAAAGAGCCAGATTTCAAGAAGTCCTAGTGTGGCACTCTATGATCAACACTGGACTGCTAACCTCAAGGTCAGCTGTTCAAACCCACCGCCCACCACCCTCTCCTCAGAAACCTATACATGGACACTATGAGTCTAAACGAACTCCATGGCACTTAACAACAACAGAGAGTGACTACCACCACCACTGTTGAGTTGCCTCCAACTCATGACAACCCCTTAGGGCCAGAGTACAATTGTGCTCCACACGGTTTTCAGTGGCTGACTTTTCAGATGTCGATAGCAGGCTTTTCTTCCAAACCACCTCTGGGTGGACTTGAACCTCCAGCCTTTCAGGGAGCAGCCAAACACATTAACTATTTTCATCAGCCAGAGACTCCAAAGCCTTAATAAGAGGTAAGGAAATGGAGTTAAGACTTTTCCTTCCAGAGGCTTGGCAACAAAAGGAAGGAGAAGTGTTTATCAAGGGCTTGGAGTCCTTTCCCACAAAGAAAACTCCAGTCCCTGATGACTTCACTGGTAAGGTCTGCCAAACACTGAAGGAAGAAAAACACCGATCCCTGCAAATTCCTCCAGAAACATTGAAGAAAAGGAACATTCCCCAACTCATTCAATGAGACCAGTACTCTCCTGATCCCAAAAGAAAAAAAAAGAAAGATACAGACCAGTATGTTCATGAACAGACGTTGAACAAAGTTATACCAAATCAAATCCCCACCCCCACGCCAAGAGGTGGGCTCTGGCTCCCTCTTGAGAACCTGGGCTACAC